CTCGATCCCAGGACCCTGGGATCATGACCTGAGCCGAAGGCAGCCGCTTAACTGATTGAGCCACCCAAGTGCCCCTCCCCTAATTTAATTTTAAATATTACGTTAAAAATTGAAAGAAACACACTTCGAGTGGTTATCCATCAAAGAATTGTGTCTTCACCTCCTGTTTAATTTCCGTAGGGAGAATCTGCTTCTCTCAGGATAAGCATCTTTACTGCTTTTGATGCCAATGGATTTTGGATTTTCATATTTCCTGCAAATTAAGGTGGAATTGAACAAATGTTGATCCCTCACTGAAATGTTATCCTCTTTACTATATAAATACTTTTTCTCATCAAATAAATCCCTTTATTTCAAAGTAATATTAATTGCTCCTTCTGCATAAATTTCTTCCTTTTCTTTATTTCTGTCTCATTTTGCATCAGATTGTCATATGCTTTTCCCAGTGGCTTTATTTTGCATGCGGAAACATGTTTAAATATTGTAGGTTGAATAATGCAGTCAATGTCTTTTGGAGCAGTCCTATAGGGTCAGGCATTAATCCTTTTTATAGCGTTTCAGCTGCACTTGGTGCATCATAATACAATCAAATTTCAAAGCTTTGAGGATGCAACAACTGGAGGAAGATGGTTTAGCTATGATAGGAATTTTTTTTTTTTGAGAGAGAGCATGAGCGGGGGAGGAGCAGACTCTGAGTGTGGAGCCCAACGCAGGGCTCAGTCTCACGACCCTGAGATCATGACCTGAGCCAAAATCAAGAGTCAGGACACTTAACCCACTGAGCCACCCAGGCGCCCCTATGATAGGAATATTTTTAAAGGTAAAAAAAATCTTACCAACTTTAAACGTATACTAGAATGGAAAGATGGAACATTACAATGTTGTTATTTAAGAATATTGGGATCAATGCATTGGTAAGATAAGCAATGCTTAAAATACAAGATTGTTACAAATACATCCCAAATGATATAAAATGGTGCTGTCCAATATGGTATCCATAAGGCATGTGTGGCTTTTAAGCACTTGAAATGTGGCTAGTATAATTGAGGAAATGGATTTTTTATTTTATTATAATTAATTTGAATTTGAATTTAAGAACTAATACTCAGTTCAGTTGTTGGAAAACTTTTAAGAATGTTTAGAACAACTTGAGTATGTGTATCTATATTTTCAAGTAAAATATGAATCAAATATTTTTGATGAAAATTTAACATCTAATTTGATACGTGTTGTGTGAGTAAAATACACAACAGATTTTTAAGACTCACTGTGGAAAAAAATGGAAACTCAATAATTTTTCATGTTGATTACATGTTGAAATGACAATCTTTTCAATGTATTTGGCAAAATAAAATATGTTCTCAAAAGTAATTTCACCTTTTTTAAAACTTTTTAAATGTGGCTCCTAGAAACTTGAAAATTTCCTTTGTGATTTGCATTACACTTCTATTTGTTGGCACTATTATAAAAGGATAAGGGCAAATAATGGTTAAAATGTGAGATCAGTTAATATATTCTAAATGGCATAAAAAGATAAAGGTGAACAGCTATGGGAAGTGATCTGGAAAGGAACTAATATTTATGAGTGCTATGTAACTATGTATTTGGTAAGTGCTTCATTTGTCTTCACCAGAGGTCTTTGATGACAAGACTATCATCTCCATTTTTCAGATGAAGTGAAGCTCCGTGAAGTTCACTGCTTTCCTGCCAGGTCACACAGCTGACAGCTGGAGAACTGGATCGCAAATCTGCGGACCACACTCTGTGCAGGGCCTCTGAGCTCCTGGAGGCTCAGCAGGTGCAGGCCTCCTGCAAGCTCTGGAGGTGGAGTGTTGTCAGGGTGCCCCAGATTTGTTTTCATCAGGTATGGCAAGACACACAGACATGGGAATGACTGTCGTGAAAGAAGAATTTCATCCTACAGTCCCTAAAGCCGGAAGGCAGGGCCACATGGGGAAGCGCCAGGGATGGCCAGGAGGCAGAGGGAAGGAGGAGAAATGGTGGATGAGAGCCTGTTGTGGTTCCTGGGGGAAGGAGCGCATGAAGTAGTATAAGCGGAGTGAAGATTGGCTACTTTGAATGATCTCAGTAGGTTCTGTGGTACAGAGGCTGTCCCTAGTTGTCTGCTACCTGGTCCTGGGGCGGGTAGGGCCCAGGGACAGTGACCCGGCATGTCAGAGCCTGATAAAGGAGTTGCTTGGGCTCTGGATTGGTTGATTTCCTTATGAACGGCACTCTCCCAGTTGTTTGTCCTCTCTTGGAATTAGCTCACCCTGGGAGGGGCAACCCTCTTAGTGTTGGGAAGCCTCAGATGTCAAAGCATCAAACACAGAAACTGGAACACGTGGTTATTACACTGAGGCTCCAGGAATGAGCCCTTGAGGACGTGGGTGTGCGCGGAGAGCTGGGCCTTACCCGCTCCGGGTGGCTGGGAGAGTTTTAGCCACCAGTGTCCTTGGAGGCCAAGTAGCAGGGAGGCTGGGATGGGTGTGGGGGAGGCGTGAGGCTAACAGAGCAGGGGCACCCTTCCCTACACACAATGGGCTTCAGCCTGTCCGCAAACCACCTGCCCGTTTGTTTTGTATCTGCTTTCATTCAGTGATGTTTATAACATCCTGAATTCTCAGTTTAAGTGCAGTTTCTGTACTGTAGATTGTTTTTAGGTAATCACCAATAGTCTGATAGGAATTCACGTTCTGTAACAATACTAGAATAAGATCTCATTTTAAAAATTATTTTCTCATTTATTGTTCTTTAGCTACACATCATGAAGAGCTACAGAAATTGGTGGACACTGTGCTGTCAATTAAGCATAAGGTAATTTTTTCCCTAAGTCACTTGAAATACATGTTATGTTTAATCTCAGAGTGGAGACACTCACAAGGCATGTTGCGAGTTGTGGAAGAGCACTTGCCACTTCATATGCGTGTTTTGAGAGCCCCCGGCCCTGGGACACCTTGCAGGGGACAGAAGTGGTTCTGTGGGTACACGCTGACCGCTTTGGTTTTGCTGTCCTGCCCTAGCACTCGGGGACTCGGGAACCCAGGAACCCAGTGCTGTCCCCTCCTCTGCTCCTTCTGAGTCCCTGTGGAAACACCCAGAGCAGCTCTGTTGACTCAACCTCCCGTCCCACGGGCAGGGAGCAGAGAAGCGTTTGACAGAAACGTGGCTTGGCCTGTAAAGAACAATGACCCATATCCTTCAGAATGGATACCTTTGTCCAGGCCCCAGGACTAACTGTCCATGATTCAGAATCCCGAAGAGGCTTTTCCCTGGAGGTCCGCATCTTCTCTCTCTCTCTCTCTCTCTCCCCCCCTCTCCCTCTCCCTCTCTCCCTCTCCTCCCCACCTCGGTCTCTCTCCCCACCACCTCTTTCCCTCTCTCTCCCTGTCTATCTCCCTCTTTTCCCTTCCCTCTCTTCTGTCTCCCCTTTTAGTCCAGGAGCCTGGCTCCCCCAAATTTGCATTGTGTTTTAGAAAGGAGAATTCTGTTGGTTTCTCTTGAAAAAAAGAAATCTCCTTGTTCATGTACCAGCTACTGCCTGATGCCTCCCAAAGAGTTCAGAGGAGACCACCTGCAGTAAACATAGAATGGAGGGAGGAAGTGGTTTGTGCCATGTTCCCGTGGAGGACTATCAGAACTACACTGTTGTCAATTATATCTCAGTTTAAAAAAAAAAAAATCAGTTATGTCTCAATTTTAAAAAAGAGAACCTTGCACAGTTTATTATATATAGGAACAAAGCATGGGCTTGACTCTGTCCTAAGGCACCGGAGTTACCTGCAATTCCTCTAGACCAATGCTAGTCCCCAGCGTCCCCAAGAATCAATGCCTTGTCATCTAATTCCTGAGTGGTTTTCAGCACCGAATGATACTTTGGGTAACCTCTTCTCTTGGCCAGGACATCCTTGTGGAATTTGGGTCATTTGATCCTTCTTGCCTGATGCCTGCCTGCCCAGATTACTGGACCTACTCAGGGTCCATGACTACCCCGCCACTCCAAGTCCGTTGCCTGGATCATTAAGAAGCAGCCCATAGAGGTTGATCATGATCAGGTATGTTCTTTCCACATTTCTGTCTGAGGAAATGCTAGCCTGCCCATTTAAAACAAGGCTAGGCTCCAACTTTGGCATCAGTTTTTAGTATCTCATAATGCTTACACATTTTTATTAAGATGTGCTAACATCTTATCTCAGTTTGGACATGAATTTGGAGATATGTCAAGTTAACCAGAGACAGGAGTTAAAACATAGAAGAACCTAAGCTTTTAGCTTTCATTTTTGACAGTAACATGTATTTTATATGTTATTATATGCATTGTGTAGAACCGCTATAAAAATTAGGATCTTTAAATGGAAAAAAATGAAGGCTGGAAGTGGATGTGTTCAAACTGGTTTGATATTTATTTATTATTGAAGTACAGTTGACACACAATGTTACATTAGTTTCAGGTGTGCAGCATGGTGATTTGACAACCGCATATGTTATGCTGTGCTCACCCCAAGTGTAGCTCCCATCTGTTACCATACAAGTCTGTTACAATCCCATTGACTGTTTTTCCCTGTGCTTTTTACCTTTCATCCCCGTGACTTACTAATTTCAGTACTGGAAGCCTGTACCTCCCACTCTCCTTCACCCATTTTTCTCATCCCCCCCCATTCCCCTCCCCTTTGGCAACTATCATGCAGAGTTCTCTGTATTTATGCAAAAATCCTTAATTTTCTTAAGAGAAACTTACTGTGGAATTTCAAGGTAAAGACAGAGCCTAACAATGTCTATAGAGAAATTTTATTCTAAGTCAGAAGTTTTGACTTGGTATTTGTTTTTCAATTAGAAACGAAAGTTTAAGTGGTGGTTACTATGTCAACACACAAAATGTTGTTTAATTCATAAATGAACTAAACTGTAATAATTGCTTTTACTTGTTTGTTTTGGAATTTTATTGACTAAAAGATTTTTACAAGAACAAAAGCTTCTAAGTTCTTTTTTATGAAGCCAAGATAACAGTGAAAGCAAAACCCACCAAAGATTGAACACCCCCAAAGTAAACACTAAGTCCCAAAAGTAGTATCTCTCAAGAATATTTAGAAAATATTCCACCCCCTAAAAAGTAAACACTAAGCCCCAAAAGTAATATCTTCAAGAATATTTAGAAAAAAGGAAAGCTGGGGCGCGTGGGTGGCTCAGTCAGTTAAGCGTCTGCCTTCGGCTTAAGTCATGATCTCAGGGTCCTGGGATCGAGCCCCGCATTGGGCTCCCTGCTCAGCGGGAAGCCTGCTTCTCCCTCTCCCACTCCCCCTTCTTGTGTTTCTGCTCTCGCTAACTCTGTCAAATAAATAAATAAAAATTAAAAAAAAAAAAAAGGAAAGCTAAATAAAATACTAGAATCTACCAATACATCACATAGGATTTTTTCTAGTAGGATTTGTCCATGTAGAATTTTTGGTAGTAATGTAAGAATCGTTCAATATTAGGAATGATATAGTTACAGTTAATAGGCTTCATCCCATCAGCAAAGCTAAAGGGAAAACTAATGTTTTCATTTTCATAAATTCCTAAAATATATTTGACAAAATTCATAATGTATTTTTTAAAGATTTTATTTATTTATTTGACAGAGAGAGAGCACAGCAGGGGGAGCGGCAGACAGAGGGAGAGGGAGAAGCAGGTTCCCCGCTGAGCGGAGAGCCCAGCATGGGGCTCGATCCCAGGACCCCTGGGATCATGACCTGAGCCGAAGGCAGATGCTTAACTGACTGAGCCACCCAGGCACCCCATTTTTGTAAAATTTTTTAATAGAATAAATGAAATGAGAATTCCCTGAGTTGATAAAGTAGACTGACCAATCTTGGCTCAGCAGTAAAGAGTATGACTAGTATGGAAAGGATATCTACTAACTGCACTATAATTAGCATATTAAATTTTAAATTGACTAAATTCTGGTAGGAGTCAATAAAGTTAGACAAAAAAAGATAAAGGAAATGAGAGAAACATTAGTGGAGTACCATACTAATTTAGAGACATCAATTCCTTTGACATATGTAAATCACAAGATAGAATGGAAGAAAAGAACCCTACAATGGAAACTAATAAACTAAAATACCTTGGAATGAACTTAAAATGTTAAAAAGGAAACTGTCAGATATTCCTAAGAGACACAAAACACTATTTGAAATAAAATTCATACCATGGTATTGAATAGAAAGGTATCCTAAAGACACCTTTGATGTCAATTTTTAAGTTGTAATTTTCCATGAGTTGTTTATTCTCCATAAATTTTCTCTGGTCCCAATAAATAAATCAATAGTTACATTGTGGGGGCTGTCCTGTGTATTGTAGGATGTTTAGCAGCATCCCTGGCCGCTACCCACTGGTTGTCAGTAGCCCCCCAACGACTGACAACCAAAACTGTATCCATACAATCTCTGATGTCTGGTGCAAGCTCACCCCTGCTCGAGCACCAACTAATGTGTGCTAATCTCTAATATCAGCTAAAACGTGAAATCCTTTACCACCTAATGTGTGAAAAGAAACATCGTCAATGGGAAATCGCTTTTAATTAATCAACACGTTGGTTTACCAGTAAAAGCATAGGGGTGATCTACTTATTACTGCCTGTAGGTCACCAGCAGAAGACTGTTCTGGAGGATTCTTTACCTACAAACCAGAATAACACCCACTCGGTTATGCTGCAGATGTGGAAAATTCTGTAGACATTTGAAAGAAAAATACATTATGGAAATCAGTACACAGTGGCATGAGACTGTCCAATCTCATGCTATGATCACCTGAAGAGAGATGTTAGGTATGTATGAAGAGTTTTTTCTACCATGAAAAATGTCTTAAGAAGAAATTTCTATCATAGGAACTTCTCTTTTAAAAATCATCTACCTGGAGATCATTCCTTAATGAATTGGCCAAAAAAAAAAAAATTAGTTGTGAGTGGAGAATGTCAGGGGTCTCGTTGCCCTGCACCCACCGGTTAACCACAACCCCTCATCCTGAAACATTGGGTATCTCTCCGACTTCAGAAAACTTCTGGTGCTCATAGTGATCTGAAGAGGCACCTGCACCCCAATGTTTATAGGAGCAATGTCCACAATAGCCAAAATATGGAAAGAACCTGGCTGTCCAACAGATGATTGGATAAGGAAGACGTGGTGTGTGTGTGTGTGTGTGTGTATAAAATGGAATATTACTCAGCCATCAAAAAGAATGAAATCTTACCACTTGGCAAGGATGTGGATGGAACTAGAGGATATTATGCTAAGAAAAATAAGTCAATCAGAGAAAGAATTAACGATTTCACAAATGTGGAATTTAAGGAACAAAACAGGATCATAGGGGAAGGGAAGGAAAAATAAACTAAGATGACATCAGAGAGGGAGACAAATAATGAGAGACTTTTAACTTATAGGAAACAAACAAGGTTGCTGGAGGGGAGGTTGGTGGGGGGATGGGCTAACTGGGTGATGGGCATAAGTTGTAATGAACATTGGGTGTTATGTGCAACTGATGAATCATTAACTCTACCTCTGAAACTAATAAAAAAAAAAAACCTTCTGGTGCTTCTTCATTAAGTTATATTGAGTATCATCACCATTGGGCTGTCCACCTCTCAGATCTGGATGGAATCTGTTGCCTGCTCTAGTCTCATCATTGGCTTCTACTTTCTCTCTCTCATCCCATCACTGGGGACAGCCCAATAGGTGCATTTCTGCATGGGCTTTTGAAGGAAATTTTCACCAAGAGATTGATTCAAAGAAATTAAACAGACCTTAAACCTAAACACTATAATCAGTTACCCAGCAGCCTTTAAATAGTGTTTTGGAAGTCAGATGTTATCAACTGTTAATGCAAAACATGACTCACTCTACTCCGACATTACCAGCAGAAACGAAAAACAGAAATAGCATTTGTGTTCACAGAAAACACATTCTAGGAATGGAAGGAGACTGAAAATTATAGGAGAGTCCACATAACTCAACGTTGTCAGGGCTAAAACATAAATCATGAATGGCATTCACCATTTTCTTAAGAGCACAATTGCAAAAAGGGACACTAGCAACCATTCTGGAAGATGGAAGCACACATCCCCTTTACTAATAAACGTAGATTCCTCTTCCTTTTAAAGAGCATCCGAGTGCATTATGTTCATTTATACAGTAATGAAGGAGAGTGTCATTCCATCGGTTTTCTGTAATTTTCAGGACCTGATCGAAATGCCTACATTTTCTCCCTTTCAGTGTCAGGTACAAAAGCCGAAG